GTAGTCCATTCAAGAGGATATCTGTGGTTTCGAGGTCAAGAAGAACAGAAGACAGATTAATTACTTTATCTTCGTCTTTTGTCTAGACTGCGAGATATATCATTCTAAAATGCTCTTGGTTTTTGTCGAGTGGTTGGACCTTGAGCTGACTATAAATTTCATATTTATTCAGCTTCTTCCGGTGTATTTTTTATTAAGTCCGATATCCTTATTGACATTTTGTCTGCCATCTTCCATGGTTTCGGGAAATCCTCCGGGGTAAGAATCTGACTCAAATCATGTCAGAATCTAAATTTAATATACATATATATATATATATATATATATAAATTAAAATAATTTTCTATACTCTCAATCATATGTTCCTTTCAGCATGATGCTGTAGAAAGCCTGTCCTTATATGCCTCAAATGTCCTCAATCTTCCATTGTTCAGTATCAGAACACGCGACAGAGAACATAATATCTTTACGCAAGCTATGAATAAAATGAGTGAAAAGCGAAGTGTTCAAATATAAAACAGTGGTAATAAGTAAATCTAAAGAATTCAGGTAACGTTAGTGGTAATAAAGTCGCTTGTATGTTATGTACATCTAAAATGAATAACCAAAATTCACAAGCGAAGGTAATTAGTAAAGAAGTATTCAAGCATATGTGAATGGTGACTAATTGGTTACACATACTAGCTAGGTATGAAAACGAGGCAGTAAAAAGCATGTTTAAACAGGTCATTATGTACAAAATAAACAGTATATAATATATAAGTATGTTTCGGTTGGACTACTTTATTGATTATCCCACAATTTATCACATCCTATTGGCCATCCAAATTTAATTATTTATGACATGGAAGAATGACTATCTCATTAAATTTTTATTTGCATGAATACTTACCACAAGCGAAATGCGGAAGGTGAGAAGACTGCGAAAAAGGTCTTTGCTGTGGTTGCTGTGGCTGTTGTAGCGATTGCGGGACTGATTGCAAGTAAGTCGGCTGCCATTGACGCTGGTGCTGTGCTGTGGTTGGCTGACCACAGGAGAACTGGTTTGGCTGAGGCACGTTTGTAGGATGAGAATGAGAATTGTGTTGATGTTGTGGCAAAGAAGATAGACTTGGTTGATGAATTTGATGCTGTTGCAAGTGTTGCATATAGTGATGGCACTGGAGGCAGTGATGCTGCTGGTGTTGATGGTAGATATGCGCAGATGATGCACCTGACCGACCGAGACTGCCATAACTATAAGGAGGCGGCAAATGGGTTGGAGCACGCCGGGGAGGTAGGGCTGGGCCAGCAGTAGTGCGAAGCTCAGAATGTGAATGACTTACAGAAGGAATGTTAATGTCACTATTAGTTATGGGGGTGGCAGTGGGAACAAGTGTTGAAGAATTGACAGAGACATTAGTAGGTAATAGAAGTGGATGGACTCCATGCTCAGTTGAAGTCGTATCTCCAATCACAGTTTGATTCGATGTGGTAGATTCGGTGGTGCTAAAAGTTAGGATTGAGCTACTGCAGTTATTACCAGCGAACGTAGCAGAGGTTGTGCTAAGGATGTTGTTGCTATTGAATACAGCAGGTGATGAGCCAATATAATTAAGCAGCCCCTTGAATAATTTAGATTCGGGGCTAAGGTCAGGATCATGTGGAGCATTCTGGCTTAGGAAAGCATTCAAACGCTGCTCGGCCGGACTCAAAGAAGAAGGCACGAAGGTTGGCTGAATGAAATATGATGAAAAGCATGCCATTAATTTATATAAGAAGAATATTACAAGAAAGTAATATTAGAAGGGAAAAAGTGAAGCTAAATATATTACAAGTACTCTCAAATTTGGCCTAGCAAACATTCAACTCGATAACAATTCAATTGAAAAAGACAAAGCAATTCTTAAATTAGTTTTAATAAAATTATTATAAGAAGCCTGGATTCAAAAGACAATTTATTTTGAGCATATTATCCAAAGCTTGGCATATTTATTTTAAATACATATAATTTTCAAAATAAGCCGATGGTGTTTCAAATTCAAATATGAAAATGCAAATATTTACCATATGCTTAAGAGGTCACAACCATATGTGACTCGGCAAAACGTTAACAACTTAATGTAGCAATGCATTTAACTATTTTTCGTTTGTAAGTAA